TGCAGATGAGGCGGGAGAAGAGTTTGCTTGTGTATGGTGGAGGGACAAGGAAGGGGGGGGTGACTGGCTGTGGCCACCTACGCTACCCGGAGGGGAAGTGGAAGTCTTGTAAGAGAGTAAGATGGACAGATTCAAGATAAAACTACAAAAGTCAACAGTGTAACTTGAGACTTTGCATGGTGCCAACGTGCCAATGTTAATTAATTGTACGGTCTGTGCATTATCTTTTTATTCTATGCTTTAATCTGACAATATTAAAGCTGTGTTTATTTTTTAGTAATGGGTTCCCTGTACTATGCAGTGAAGCTAAAGTCCCCTTCACCCATTGTTTTCTTTTCTTCCTCAGGTTCAAGATAAGAGTAAAGCCATATTAAGAGTCCCATTAAGGTGGGTGAGCCAGCCCGTCTAGTACAGTGTTTATACAGAAACCAATGAAACCATATTGGACGTGTCTCTTAGGGCAGCTATGAGGTGTTCCATGTGCATTATATCATTTATTCTAGAGACCCAGTGATCTAGCACTGAGGGGTCGGTTTGTTTGCAAGTACTCAGGATACACGATTTAGCTGCCCTAAGATGATGGATCATCAAGGATGTTCTGTGTTTAGATCTAGGAATAAGAGTGACATGGAACAGACACGTTGCTGGGTTGTCACAGAGGTTTATATCTGTAAGCATTTGAAACATTTTAGTAACCTGTGACCAAAAGTAAGTCAGTTTGGGGAAATCCAAAAATGTATGCAGCAGCGTACATTTTCTGCTCCCACATATCCAGCACAGATCGGAGGAGCCTGTGAATAGGTGGGAGAGCTTCTACAGAGTTCTATGTCATCTGGAGATGAGCTTATAACTCATTTCCAGGTATGTATTGCTGTTAGCAGCATGGTGAATTAAATGAATGATATGAGATTTTTGCTTTTGTGAAAAGGAGCTGTTTAGATCTCTAACATATTTTGTAGATAGGACAGATTGCAATCTAAGCGGATTTGATAGGATAAGGAAAGAATGCCTAAAATCAGTCCAAAGGATGCACTGAACTTTTCAAAGGGAATTAAATCCCAGGTAAGTTCTTGGGGTTTTGGACGACAGAGTAGGAAATTATTAGGTTGGTTTTTCCTCCTGAAGCCAAAGGCATTGGTATTAAAGTCTACAGTTTTTGTAATTGATCAGGTATGTGCAAGTCCATGTGGGATATGAAGTGGGTGGTGTAGAACATATTTTTTTGGCAGAATGGCTAGGTAGAAAATGTAGATGGCCAAAGACAGGCAACAGTCTTGAGGAACAGAAATTTAGATGTGGGGATTCGGAAAAAAATGTAAGAACATTTTGAATGTGGAACTAATCAGTTGGTGTCTTCTTACACTGGTGTATGAGTCACCTGCTGCACCAAGGAAAAACAAAGGCCCAAATAAAAAAGTGAAATAAAATAATGTTTGTTTACCATTCTAATGTAATTCAATGCACCCACAAGCCCAAATTCAAGTCAAGTCATAAAAGAAAATCACTGCACTCCAGACCACAGCATTTCACCAGAATGCATTTAGCCTGACCAGACTCCACTGCAAAATCCCTGGGGACCGAAGTGAGCTACACACCTTGAACAGTATACATACATTCTTGTGCAACCCAACCTTGAACAGTATACACACATACATTCTTGTGCAACCCAACCTTGAACAGTATACATACATCCTTGTGCAACCCAACCTTGAACAGTATACATACATTCTTGTGCAACCCAACCTTGAACAGTATACATACATTCTTGTGCAACCCAACCTTGAACAGTATACATACATCCTTGTGCAACCCAACCTTGAACAGTATACATACATCCTTGTGCAACCCAAGTTCTGATTACGTTGTTCCCACTTCTACAGATACTTTCACTAAAATTCAGTTTTATAGGATTTTAAAAGGTCATGTTTATTTCCTCTTTTTCTGGTCTAGTCAATGTGCCTTGAAAGAAGTAAAAGTTGTAATATTAGACAGAATACCACAAGTGATTCTTCTCTAAAACAAAAGTAAATTGTCAGTTTCCTTTGCTAGCAATTTGTCAAATGAATGGGCAGCAAGATGCATATTGTGTGTCTCAGAACCTATAACCTGATGCCACAGTTTTTTCTTTTTTCTTCTGAAAAGTGACATCAGTTTGAAAAGTTCCTGCTTTCCTATGCTACATTTTAAGAAATGTGGCTTCTCTCCTCTGTTAGAAATTTGGGAAAATCTATGGCACTGTGGCAAAGAGGTATGAGTCTCAGTGATACAAAATGGCACTTTTATTTTCATCTGCAGCTATTAAGAAATGCAGCACAGCAGAAATTTCATTTCACAACAGCTGAAATAGCAGTCTTCTCCTGCTTACTGGATACATTTTACATAAACAGAAAAGTTTATATTACCCTTTCTTATTGACAGTTACATATGAAAAAAGTTGCTTTTTGGGTAAAAGATTGGTAAGCTATTATACACCTCAAAATGCGCCTCTGTAATGTAACAAATTTGACTTAAGTGGGGTTGGTGTTAATGAGTTCTTAGAAATTCCTGGTGGTGCTTATTGTATCCATTGTATTTTTGCTTTGAAAATTAAAAAATTTGATAATCTTTGTTTCTAAAAGAAATTCCTGGTGGATTGCACCTCATTCACTATTCCTGTGTAGTCTACATTCTGGTTTCCTACCTTGGTTTCTCCCTTAACTCTTTCCCTGTTACTCATCTATCTGGTGCCTAACTTGAACCTTTGCCTATTTGTCTGAACTTGTTACTCTGAAATCTAATAGACCCTGATCTCTCCATTAAGAGAATGTGTCATCTGCCCAATGCTATCACTTGGGGGTTGTTAAGTGAAAAAAAGCAAAAAAAAAAATACAATTATAATAAAATTTGTAAAAATAACACAAAATTAAAACCACCCCTGTCTTTTTTTACCTTTAAAAAAACCCACCCCTATTACCCTAGACATACCCACAAGTGCAAACAGGTCATGCACATTTATGTATATTGCCATGAAGATTGGAGTACGAGCAATAATTCTAGGTTCCTCATTTAGGGTTTACTGTAAACTGGTGAGCTGTAAAGGCATTTAAAGTGCCTATTATCTATTCATAATTTTGGGTACCATAATTTTTTTTCCATTTTGGGCACACAGTTTGGAGGCTTAATGTATTTTGAATCTACTTACTTGACACTCATCTTTTATTTTGTAAAAAAAAAAAGGGAATTAAATTGTGTTGATGTGCAATTAAATCTCATGTTAGTGTTTGTTACTGAAATTATAGATTTTTAAACAGTTACGCAAATATTGTGCAACAGGAAAAACTGCAACTACCACCTTTTTATTCTACAAGGCCTGTGTTCAGAAAATATATAATGTTCTGGGGGTTTTAAGTAATTCAGATTTAAACACTTGTCCATAACAGCTTCATCGATTGATAACATTTGTCTAATAACTCTTTAAGAACAATATATTTTACCCATGAATTAATTCTGCTAACTTTATGGAAGTGAGCATGCCATTTGTCATGTTGTATATAAAAAAGACAAAGCACTAAAACAATTTTCTCCCCATAACTGGCCAGGTTATTTATTCCATTATATATATCTAACCAACCCAGTCATAGTGATATCAAAAGTCATTAAAAAAAAATGTTTCTAGCAAGGCTAAATAGTTACATTGAAAAATATTTGGGCAAGCACTGTGGTCATGATGGTAGGGCACTTTGTTATTCATGTTAATGTCAGATTGTACTACAATATAAAACCTGTACAAAGTACGCTCAGTCAACCATTAAAGGTCAAGAATGGAGATCTTTATGCAACTTAAGGATGTATAATAAGTGAACAATTTCACATTGAGTGGCAAAATCATGCAGAGCTGTGTCTATGCCAATACAATGTATCACTGTTATTAAATGTGACACTTAGCCAACAAGACAGCTGTTCACCCAGGTATAGACAGACACAGACTCTTACGGAACAGCTCAGTATTTTCTACATAACCTCCCTCCATCCTTCTATCAAGTTATGCTTATTCCATTAATTTTCACTTTCCAAATAAACATTTTTGCTCATAAAGAAGAAACCTGTGTGTTTATTTCATAGTTGTGCCAGCCCTCTAAGGCATAAGAGGAAGAATGTAACTGCTCACAGACTCCTACACACTTGAATCTGCCAGTTACGTTTCTGCAACACGCCATGCTTAATAGTCCCTGCATTCTGGGTTTGGCGACAGTGTTGACTTAAGCAGAATCAGCCTGCAGTCCAGCTACAAATCCAATGTCTTTAGGCTGCCTTTGATTTTCTTTTCCCGTTCAGTGTTTTTGCTTTCAACAATGACCCTTTTCAGTCTTGTCCAGGTACAGAACCTTTACCAAGTCTTCCAGCTCTGTCCGGCAAATTCGGGTTTCACACATGTGGCTGATCTGTACTTCTCCCTCACTGAAGATTTTCCACTGGGCTAAAAAATATAAAATGCCGTTATGAAACAAGAATGGGAGTTTCTCCTATATTGCTGTTGCTTTCCTGAATTTTAGCATGATCTGGGGAGGAAGGGACAGTCACAAATATTTAATTTGGGTCTGCCTCTGCTTGCATAGTAACTCCGTTACCCTTAATGGTAATGGTGTTAACAGATTAATGAAAAAAAGTTTTAAACATCAGATGCCTGTATATAGTATAAATACACAATCTCAGCTGATGTGATATTTAAAGTGTTAGTGCACTAATATGGCTACAATCACTTCATGCAATATGAAAAATAATCTGAAGGTAAAGACAATAGGTAATAGTTAATAAACAGTACTGAGTAATTTTTACTGCCTTTAGTATCTAATATAGAGCAAAAGCATCAATTGTGTATTTTCAGCCTCTGAAATACCAATGTTTTTGATTTTATTTATATATATATATATACACACTATAATATACTATATTGCCAAACGTATTGGGACACCCCTCCAAATCATTGGATTCAGGTGTTTCAATCACCTCCATGACCACAGGTGTATAAAATCAAGCACCTAGGCATGCAGACTGCTTCTACAAACATTTGCAAAAGAATGGGTTGCTCTCAGGAGCTCAGTGAATTCAAGTGTGGTACCGTGATAGGTTGCCACCTGTTCAATAAGTCCATCCATGAAATTTCCTTGCAACTAAATATTCAACTGTTAGTGGTGGTATTATAACAAAGTGGAAGCAACTGGGAACAACAGCAACTCAGCCACGAAGTGGTAGGCCACATAAAATGACAGAACGGGGTCAGCGCATGCTGAAGCACACAGTGCACAGAAGCCGCCAAGTGACTGTAGAGTGAACAACTAAAGACCTCCCAGCTTCAAGTGGCCTTCAGATTAGCACAACAACAGTTCGTAGAGCACTTCATGGAATGGGTTTCCATGGCCGAGCAGCTGCATCCAAGCCTTACATCACCAAGTGCAATGCAAAGCGTCAGATGCAGTGGTGTAAAGTACACTGCCACTGAACTCTAGAGTAAGATATATATATATATATATATATATATATATATATATATATATATATATAAAATTTCTTATATATATAATATTTCAAAATGTCAGCCTGCATTATTTTGCCATTAAGAATAACTTTAAAAATGATTGTAAATTCAGAGGGCTGTTTTTTTATTACTGTGGTTTGATCAGAAAAAGGTGATTTCTGATTCTGATATTTGTTACTCACTTTTCAAATTACTCTTTGCTTATAAATAAACTAGATACAGTCAGATACACTGGATCTTTATAATTTCATGCTAAGAGAAGTGGGAACTCACTTGCTGTTGTCCTTGTTATCTGTTTGAATTCCTGCTGTTCTTCAAATTCTTCTTTTGACATTTTTTCAGTGTAAAACTGGCGCAGAACACCTGAACAACAAAAGTTCATTGTCTATACAAACGGAACAGTACATTTGTGTCTCATCATGTCTGGCATAACTAAATGCTGTAGCCAAAAAGCAGCATTTACAAACCCCATATTGCTGATTACCTTTCTGGATTATCCACACATGAATTTCTGCCAATGAAGGATCTTCTGTCACCACTGCTATTTTCCTGACTGTTTCTCCTTCCTCTAATAACACAGACTCAAACACTGGAATGGTCTCTTCACATAAGTAGTCTTTGTCACCTGAATGTGGATCTGGGATTTCCTCTGCAACAGAAAAAAAGTAAATAGGCAACACATTCTAGAAATAAAAAAACAAACATTTTTTTCTAGAAATTCTAGTTCTGCTATGATTCTACAATCAATATGTCCTAGAAAAAAATTGGCACACTTTTACATACAGAGAAGATATTGTCATAGAAAATAGGAGACTAGTTCCTTCAAACTAAACTTCAAAATAAACTTTAATATCCACATAAAAATGACTCCCTACAGCAATGAATAATAGAGGTTCATAGTGTGGATATATTATTATGTTTATAGGCTGCTAGTGTAATTAAATTAAATTACTGTGACAGCTCTTCACTGGGCGGAGGGTGAGCCTAGGTATATGCTAATGAACTTCAAGCAAGTTGTAGAGGACACCAATTTTGAACTAATACTTCAGGGTGAAGGCACTCCCTTTGTGAAGTGTAGACAAAATAGTACTAAACAGGGACTCCTCAACAGGAATACAGTGCTGAGTGTACTGGCAATAACATACATCTCCCAAATGGGCCAAAGAAAGTCTCTAAGTCCAGAAGGCTGGTTCTCACTGTGTCCTGTATACTGTGTAGCCGCCTGCTTTATCAGTCAGTTTCTGTACTCCAATTGCCTGTATCCTGGATCCTTAGGAAGCTTTCTGCAAATGCTCAGGAGAAAAGAAAAGAGGTCACCCAGCCAAACAATAGCTGGGACCCATAAAAAATTCTTGCAGCTGGAGGTGACTTTCGCAAGGATGCTACAACCCTCAGGAAGGGTATTACTCCTCCCCAGGAAACAACCCTCTGCTCTGGGTTCCAAGCTATTTATACCCGCCCTCAGCCCCCTGCTGGACACTCACCATATTGACCAGAGATTGGCTGGAGAGGTAGGCTGTACTCTGTGCTCTCCCACCCACTATGCTCCAGGTCCCTGGAATACAGGGAGAAGAAGCTGAGTAAATACCAGAAGAGCAGACCTAACTAAACAATTGTTGCTCTCCCTAACTACAGGGAGGCCAAAAACTATTTTTTAACCAACTAGTAGCCTAATGGGGCACTACAAAAGAATTAAAGTGCTAAATGACAAAACATTTTTTAGTACACATAATTATACATGTAGTTTGTATATTAAAGAAACCAATATATATTTCCCAGATGTTTGCAGCTAGATAATATACTCCATAAATCTTGATCCAGTTTTGTAATACAGCAGTCTTTTAAAATTCTTTTTGTATATGGCTTCAGGGATAATTAAGAGATTATAATCATATTATTGTGCTAGACCCTAGTGAACTCTGTGCTAATGTAATCAACAAAACATCAAAAAAATATAAAAAAAAAAATATAAACAAAAACAAAATGTGTACGCAATACCACAGTCAAGATAGCTGCTTCCACTAGTATCCACAAACAGATAAAAACATATATGCATAGACGAATTAGTAGCGCTATCCCTTTCGGAACAGTGAATATAATAAACAAACAATAGTGAATGCAATGCAAACAAAGTGCAAAATCTAAACACATTCTCAATATAAGCTTATGTCCACCACACTGATTGTGAAATAATATGTAAAAGTCTGCTAAAATGATATATTGTGTAATAATGACTTCTTGTGAGCACTTACATTCTCCAACACCCATAAATCAACAGTGAGGACACTCCTTCACCGCCACCACCACTACAAATACACCTCTTACTGAATCCAGAGACCCGTTATTATGGAGGTCACAAGCGCTCTACTGTAATATTAAAGAGATGGTAGACCGCAAGAGAATCACTCTGACAACCTCAGGTTATTCCTCTTTACTTCCGGGAATGCTCATGTTACATGTATCTCATCAAAGAAAAGGCCATATATAATGTAAGCACGTAAAATTAATCCAAATTTACTGTAAACATAATGGGGTTGTTTTACTAAAGGCAAATAGGCTGTGCACTGCAAGTACACTGAAAGATCTGAGGGGAACATGCAAGGAAAATAAAAAAAAAAAACTGCATTTTTTGCTTGCACATGGTTGGATTAAAGAAATCAGCAGAGGTTCACCTTATTTCAAACATTCCCCTCGGATCTAAAGTCATGCAGTGCACAGTATATTCACCTTTAATAAACCAACCCCTATGTATTCACAACACAGCAGAACAATTAAAGCTAATTGTGACCTCCTTAAGGGGTCTCTGGATTCAGTAAGAGGCATATTTTTAGATGGCAGCAAAGGACTGTCCTGATGGTGATTCACTGGGTGTTGGAGAACTTAAGGGGTCACAAGAAGTTATTATTACACAATATATAATTTTATCAGACTTTTACATAATATTTCACAATCAGTGTGGTGGACTTATGCTTACTGTATATTGAGTTAGTGTTTGGATTTTGCACTTACTTTGTTTGCATTGCATTCACTATTGTATGTTTATTATAATGTCTATTCTTAACCACTTACCCTCCAGAGGATTCATCCCCTTCCTGACCAGGCCATTTTTTGCGTTATGGCACTGCTATTTTAACTGACAATTGCGCGGTCATGCAACGCTGCACCCAAATGAAATGTATGTCCTTTTTTCCCATGAATAGAGCTTTCTTTTGGCGGCATTTGACTGTCTGCGTGTTTTTTATTTTTTGCGCTATAAAAAAAGGCCAACAATTTTGAGAAAAAACAATATTTTTGGCTTTTGGCTGTTAAACATGTCCAGTAAAAAAAATGTAAAAAATCAAATTTCATCATAAATGTAGGCTAAAATGTATTCTGCTACATGTCTTTGCTTAAAAAATCCCAATAAGTGTAAATTAATTGGTTTACATGAAAGTTTTAGCAATTACAAATGGTGGTATAGATACTGGAATTTTTTTTTTTACTAGTAATGGCAGCAATCAGCGACTTATAGCGGAAATGGGACGAGCATTCTGACACTGACAGTATCACTGACACTGATCAGTGTTAAAAAAAAGCACTGACACTGTACTAATGGCACTGGGCCTGGAAGGGGTTAACATGAGGGGAGATCAAAGGGTTAACCGTGTGCTGTATGCTGTTTACTTGTGTTTGTGTGTGCGCTTCACTGTAATCACAGCACAGCCATCCAAAGCAGTGTGCAAGAGCTGACAGGGAGGAGAACTGTATTGTTTACATATAGTTCTCCTCCCCGTTGGAGATGCTTGGCAATCACCAGGCACCGGCGAGTAATAACGGCCCGAGACCCAGTGATTGACAGCCGCACCCGAGAATGGAGGCGCAGGTGGGAGGCACCCAACCCGGAGACGCAAAATCATGTATATATACATGATATTGCACACCCATGCCACCCTGTAGCAGTATATCTGCTATAGGGCGGTCAGGAAGCGGTTAAAGAGCGCTACACATTTGCCTATGTATAACCATATTATAGTAATTTGTTTTATAGAGAGTATGTGGATATGAAAAGGAACTGATTATATGTTGTCTAATAGACTAATTTCAGCTAATGATAATTACCATTTTATGTATGTACTGATATTTAATTGATTGCTTTATAGCAAATGATAGAGTATGTAAAAAATGATATGAAAGTAATGATTCTCAGCTTTTCAGGACCTAACTAGATATCCTGTATACGCATTCATATAATAAGAAGAGAAGTCTGGATGCCATTAATGGGGGACTCTTAAAAAACAGGTCTTCAAGCCATATGACCTGCCCTCAGATATTAGTGTCAATTTTGGGCCCAAATGAAAGCTGTATGTCTTGCCAGTGATTGTAAACTGAATAGAGATGACTGCTTTATCTTAGCAATGAATCTAAGCAATGGAATATCCTCAGCTGACCTGTGGGAAAGTCATCAAGAATTTAACATTCTCACCAGCCAAGTAAAGCTGCTGTTTGTCCAAAATATTGAACTAGAATGTAGAAGAATATGATACATAAGCTTCCCTCTGCCAGACAGGTCTTCGGCATTTAGTCATCTTGCAATTCACTAGTTAAAGAGGACCTGTACAGTTTGATCTCAGATAGTCTGACTTTGTTTCTGCTTTCAGGGAGAGTGACATAGTGATAAAGAGAAACAGTCTGAATGTATCACATCAGCGGTAAGGAAAGCCATTATGCCAGGTTGGACATGCACCTGCATACGAATAAGGAATACCATCTATTTACTTGTAATAATAAAGAGAAACTCTCTTGATGAGAGTTTATGTGAT